CTGCTGCATAATCTCTCCACTGGGAAATTTGTAGTATGTTACAGCTGTGGATAGGCTCATGGTAGTGCAATAGGCAGAGCTTTTTAAGCAAGCTGCAGGGAGCTTATTTACAAGCACTTTCCTCCTACAGAGAACTTCTGTGATATTCTGGTGCAGAATAACAGGCGATCATTGATGCTTTCCCCTTTTGTAGAATGGCTAGCATGGGTTCTGGAAGGGCCAACACTGTCTCTTGCATGCAGCAAAAACAAAGCTGCATGTATGGGAATGATGGACAGGAGGATTTTAAAGCTGAGTAATTCCCCACCCACTGCACCTTGTGTGTTTTCTGGGATTGTGGTGATGTGCTGTGCCTGCTCAGAAACTGGCTTTATACTACTGCAAGAGTGCTCTACATGGATTTATTTTACTCTTCCAACTAGCTATATGATGGATCAGTCCTTTAGGGTCTTTTTCTCTAGAGCAGAGAAACCTTAATCACACTTTAAACCAGTGGCAGTAAATGCTTTCTTAAGTGTGGGTTTTGGAGGACTAAAGGATTATTCATTTCAGAACTGCTAACCCGTAAGAGTAACTAGCAGTCAACACCTTATGCTGAACATGTGCTTTGAAGGTAAGGCCTTTTGCCTCCCTGCAGCTGTTTCACAGAGTTGACATTTGCCAAAAGATGGATGAAATGCATTTGTTCAAATGATAGATATCTCCTGAACGAGAGATATGTTAAGCACACAACTTGTCTCTTTGGTTCAGAAGGCAGGCCCAGAAGGAGCAGAATAGCTGCAGGACTGCTGATCTGATGTAGAAATATCCTTCAGTTTAAAAGTAGGCACCCAAAATGTGAGGAATAAATGTTCTTGGCATCCAACAGATGGTAGTTGACATATTTTCTAGCTGTCAAGTCTTTTGAAATTCTTCTGTTATATATGCTAGAGTTTCACCTTTGTGCTGCCAGGCTGAATATAGAAATGACAACTGGAGGTAGAGGTATTCTACAGCACTCTATAGGTGAAGAGAACTAAGCTGAACCAACAGAAGAGGATTAGTAAATCTTGAATTAGTATGTGCACCTCAGACATCGTGATTGGGATATTCCACGTTAAATTTACCTTGTAGCACAGTTTTCATTGCATCAAGTCTTTGATTGTTGTCTCTAACCTCGGGTAAGAACCGAGTCACCCGCAGCATCTATCTCAAGGACATTTTCCTGACCGTGACCCTAAATTGCAACACGTAAATGTCTTTTGCCTGGTACAGTCCTGGACTGTTTTCTATTGCCTCTGCTTTGAAGTGTCGGCTTTTAGTGAACTCTGCTAACTTTTTATTATTGCATTGAGGCTGAGGCAGAGAAGAGCAATTAAAGGGTTGACATCTTTGGTATTTTTTTAATAGTACATGTGTCAAAATGCATTTAACAAATCATAGTCGATGCAAAAGCCCAATTAATGCTAAAATGTAAGTAGAGTTCCTTTCAGTTGGGAGCAAATGAGAATTTTAAAATGTATAATAACAAAAAGTGGTTGTCTTATTTTAGATATAGGACCTAACAACAACTCCTCTTTCTGAGAATTGAAGTCTTAAAGCCTAAGTCTTCCCTTCTGTTCCAGGATACAGCTGGACAAGAAAGATACAGGACCATCACTACAGCCTACTACCGAGGAGCCATGGGCTTCGTCCTCATGTATGATATCACCAGTGAAGACTCCTTCAATGCAGTGCAGGACTGGTATGAAATATTGTTGTTGTTGGGTTGGTTCGTTCTTTGGCCAATTCTCTCCTCATAATTGTTTGTTGAGAACATTAGACATCCCACCCTCCACAGTGCTTTGCATCACCATGTTCTTTCCTCTTCATCTAAACTCTGAAATAAATGATTTGTTTTTTAAACTCTCCTTAGAAGAAGTTCTCCAGCTTGATTTTAATGAAAAAGTTATAATTCAAATATAGTAGCATACTATAGCAGTTGTTGCTTTTAAAAGTTCTAATTAATTGTAAAGAAATTAATCCTTTAATGCATTATTTGGGTTTATGAGGTTTCTGGCTGTGCTGCTAAACCAATCCAGTTTAACTGGTTGTTTGAGTCAAATCTCATATAAATCTTATAAGGCTAGATCTTTCCAAACTGCCTTAAAAAGTGGTTAATTGTTAATTTTTTTTTTTTTGGAACCTACAAGTGTAGACACATGGAACAGTATTCACCTTGCCTAACTTGAGATAATTAAAAATCTAACTTTACCCATTTAAAACTTGTGAAGTTTAAATTAGTTGTAGTTGTAATAAGAGGAGGAAGAGCAAGGTCTAGGACATAAAGCAAGCATGCCCCTTGGAAGGGGCCTGTCTGTTACCACTGACTACAGAAAGCCCCTGAGCAACTCTATAAGGAATGGTGGGATGGGGGAGAAGGAGTCACCTATTAAATGGGAAGGGTGGGGACTTAGCCCTAAAACTATGTGTGAAAGGGATTCTCGCTGTTATAAACACCTCTGGCTCTGCTGAATTCAGTGCAAATGCAGAAACACCAGAAAATGATTTCTGGACTTTCTGATGACAAAAAGCCAGGAAATATTTTTGGCTTACAGTGAAAAAAGAAAGCATCAGGTCAGTCACTTTAAAAACTCCATGGCAGTATCAAAGCTGCATTGGTACCCAGGCTTGTCTCTCCGACGTTTTGGTGTGCACTTCCCCTTCCCCGCCTGGAGGCTTCCCTTGTAGCTCATGTCACCTGTCTTCTTCCTCGGGAAGAAGTGTCCCATCTCACCCGACACTGTGGTCTGATTTTGGGAGCAGAGCTGTGGCCCAGACCTTGTTCCTGCCTTCCAGACACATACATGTACAGAGCAGGAGGAGCAGTGGTCTTCCCAAAGAGCCAGAGCACGCATCATTGCTGTGGCCATGGGCAGTGCCTGCAGTCCCCTCCGTGGCAGCTGACGGGAGGTGTTTTCTCAGCAGGGACCCAGCACAGTGCCTGGGGTGAGAACATCTGAGCTGCTGCTGCGAGGCAGTGGCCGCAGGCACGGCACAGATAAGCAGAAGGCTGGACCCTGTTGCTGGAGCTCATTTTCTGACGTGGCAGCCTCTCAAAGTGACACCAGACTTTGTGTAGGAAATACAGGGCATGGGGAGGCAGGGGAAAGGCTGTGTTTATCCTCAGAAGCAGTACCCCTGTGGCTCCCCATAAATGTCTTGCAATCATTTCTGCTTGTTACCCTGTTGCTGTATACTGCAGATAGGTATGGTCAACGTGCAAAGAAAGGCAATGCAGTGGTTAATGTAATCTCCCAAGTCTGACAGATTGATTTGCAATGATCTCAGCGACCTACCGGCAGCATGTGACATATGCTGGCTATGGCACTGGCTCTTAGCATTCAGCTCAGTCTGTTTTTTTGTTGAACACCTATTCTGTATCCCCTAATCTAGGTTGTAACTCAAAAGCAGCAACAACATGGTTTATTGTTGCTTGTAATTTGGCCTTTTTCCACTGAAGCAGTTGGTCACGATCATCACATCTAAAGATGTACTCTCCAATTTCACCCCATCTCCAGTATCATGACACCATGCTGCAGAAGGTGAACTGCAACACCTTCCCCAAGTTGTCCTTCAGCAGCTAATGATAGAGGAATATATTTTTTTCCTTGCTAGAAACACAAACCCAAAGGTTTTGCCAAAACCAGGTTCCTCCATGTCGCACACCCTCCACCAAGCTCAGATGAAGCTTTTTCTGCAAGTGTCTGCACAGGGATTTTTTCCATAGGAGTGCAGGCATGTGAGCTATGGTATTATCTTTCACTAAACTGTAAATATTTTCAGCTTCGTTCCCTGATGAAATAAGAGATATATGACCACACAGTTCATCTACCTGCCTATCTGTTGGTTCCGCTCTAATAAGTTTTACTTCTCAGTCTTAATTTAGCCAAAAAATACTAAATCTCAGCGTCTGGGCTGCTACTATTTTAGTGTGTAGAGGAGACGTTTAACCTGAAGCTTTGTATTGGAAGCGGTTTAACCTCTGTTCTATCAAAGGTAATGGTGCAAATGTTAAGAATTAGGAAAGGTCAGCTTTGTGTATTTGGTTTCATGTCTTCCTGTGCCACGGGGGCTGCGTGAATATCTTTGCTAAGAGCACCTTATCAGCCAAAGGACAGAGGTCAACCATCAGTTTATTTTTACTCTATATATCAGGAATCTTTCCAACCAGTTTTAAGATTCTGAGCCCAAATGATGTAGTGGGGCAGATAAAATCAGCCTGTGGTAGCCCATTTCCTTCCTTTGTGAAGCTTGTCCACAGGAGAGGAGATGAGGACGGTAGCAAAGCCAGCATCGCTGTACCAGCAGAGTCCTCTAGTGGCAATGCAGTTAAGAGATGTTTTTTTCCTAGTCTGCAAAACTGCTTTCTAAACTTCTGAAGGGACAAGAAATGGGAACAAAGGCTTTTGTATCAGCCTCTGCCATTTGCTAGCATTGCGAGTAGGTAAGATTTTTTGGTTGTTTTTTTTTTTTTTCACCATGTTGAGTGAGACAGTTATGCTTCAAAAAAAATTAGACTAGATCTGGTCTTCAGTCAGGAACTGTACTCTCTGTGGAAAATTAAGGTGTCTACTACTTGAGCTCCTTTAGCTCAGAACCTTTATCTCCATGAGCCTAGTCCATTCTTCAGGTCAAGTGTGAGACAGCAGCATGCCTAATGATAAAACCAGAGCCCTAGCAGTCCTGCGGTGCTTCTGTTTGGTGCTGATGAGAGGCTGGAGTGGCAGCAGTTGGGGAGCTGTACAGGCTGCAAAGTCCGTAGCATGCTGCTGACGCTCAGCCCTGCCTTGTCTTGTCCATCCCATGTAGATAGGACAGCCTTCCTGCTCTGCCTGCTATGCCCAAGAGGGACAACCTCTGTAAGAGTGAGAGGGCTAGACCCAGAATGTTTGGGACATGAGACGGTCTGATGGGAGGACAAGTGCCTGGACCACTGCTTCTCCACTAATGAAGCTGCTACCCTCAGTAGTATTGCTCCTAGGTTCCCAGGAAATGGCAAAGTTGCAAGCTGCTTTTTACCTTGCAAGGAAGCTGTTTGGCCCGATACGTGAGTTGCCTCTCTGCTCGCAGAGGTTTAAGCGAGGCTACAACAAACCACACTAGTTCTAAGACCATACTTCAGCCCTCACTGAAGTTAAATGGGGCATCCACCTAGAATATATGCAAAAGCTAACAGCCAAGCTCATCCCAGGTCTTCTTACATCCTGCAAGTTTCCAGAAATTACAGCAATTAATCCTACACATCCTTTTTCTCTTTTAAGTGTCCTGCTATCCTAGCTGACTAGTGATGCGTTTTTCAGTATCCAGCTACAGTAGATAAAGAATACTTTTAAGTTGAATATTTTGTTATAAATGCAGCATGATGCAGCAGATTGGCTGACCTTTTAGACAGTGAGAATAAAACAGCAGTATGCAGTTAATGCAAGTAAAATCCAGTAAGGAACCTGTTAACCTTCCCAGTTATTTTTAAAATAGCGTCTGTGGGTGGAATTGTAGTGTTTCTCTGGCATAAAAAATGAGTAAGCCACCTGCCATGTGATCATGGGACTGGGTTCATAAAGTAAATACAATCGAGCTTAGGAGGATACCTCAGGAAGATCATCAGCAAACAGAATATGAAGTGATGCGCCTTCCACTAACTTTTGGCTGCTGTCCATCCCAGTCCATTCTCATTGGCTGGTAAGAATTTCCCACCTGAACATAATTCCTTGGTCCTAAAATTGTACCCATTCACAGAACCTTGGAATGGGTCAAGTTGTGTACACTAGTTATCTATGTGTTTTACAGTAGGACATTCTCCAGCCCTAAAGCCTTACTTCTTGCTGGTGCTCTGCCTACTGCTGTTTAGTGATTCAGGGTTTTTAAGATGCTGTGCAAGCAGGCTGTCAACAGAAGTCTCAGCCCATCTCACTGCTTTCTCTTGTACCATCTATTCCTGCAGAGCTCCCTACAGAAAACAAGCCAAAAGCATGAACAAACAGCTGAACCAGAGACTTGGCACTCCAAGTAAGCTCTCACCCATGACAAACTCTTACCTTCTGTTGAGCTTATAGGGGTGTGCATAGATCTCAAAATTCATCTGCTTAATTAGACCAAAATTATGGGAAGGTAGCCTTGTGCAAAGTCAGCTGTCCGTCAGAGAGAAGTCTTTTCCCTTCCAGACCTCTGCAGCATCTTAGAGCTTGTATCCTCTCTCTGCAGGTTGTGCTCACTTTATTATTCTCCAAGCCTTTTCACGAGTCTCCAACATCCCCTCTAAAACTGCCTCCCATGTATGTATGGTGTACTTTACCTCTTGTCTCTGGCTCATTGGCATCTGACTGTTTTAAAAGCCTCCTGACCTGGCCTCACCTACCCACAAGGGAAATGAGAATATCTCCTCCAGTCTGCCATAGGATTTCTTCCTTGGCTCATCTTTTTACCATACCCTTCTTAAGACTGCATGTCCTAAAGAGGCTTCTGGTTTGCTTTGTGTCACTCCAGAAATACTTCTCCTAAACCAAGTAAAGGTACTCCTTTACTCCTGATCTCCTGAATGAGAAGGATTATGGCTATATATCAGGTATTTAGACAAGCTCTCCAGGTACTATATGAATGTGAAGTACAGTCTTTCCTTCATTCACATGAATCATGCCAATTAATGAAAATTATCTTAAAGCAGCTGCGAAAGAGTAAGATACACAATTTAAATGCATTTGGGAATATCTAGAACATCACCTGCTCTCTTGCTCCTTCACTGGGAAAGGTATGACAGATTGTATGAGAAGCCTTAAAAGGTTAAGCCTGAGTGATTTTCCTTACTGCAGTGTGGCAAGAGTACAGTCAGGTTATTTTACAAGAAAAAGCATAAATGGGCAAAAGCAAATATGGGTTTTACATGATATATGAAAATAACTAATTATTTTGTTTGAATAATAAGACATCTTTCCTGTAGGGTGAGTGAAAGGGTTAAATAAGCGTTCGTGGCTTTCAGCTTAGTTTCTAGATTATTTTTAGTAGGCTCCTTTGACAGTTATTACTTGACATTGGCTTGATAGTTTTGTGTGTAGATAAATCAGTCGTTTATACCTCATTTGAAACTGTACTGAAACTAGAATATACTCAGCATTTGATAATGTAAAGTAAATAGAAAATATTATGGAAATTCTGCTTTGGACAATCTAGACAATTTCATAGAAGGGAAGAAAAAATTGGTTGCATTTAACTTAGATTTACATGACAGCTGGGTTAAAAAAAAGTCAACTTTATTTATCTTTAAGGCTGATCTCCAAATTAGCTTGTTGATACATCCATGTAACTGTGAACCTGAGACTATTTTTCTTCTAAGCGTGAAGCATAAAACCCATGCTTTATCGTTAATTTGGGGAATTCAGCACAAATAAGGCACAGCATTGTTATTGTATCACAGAAATATATTTTTCCCAGTGTGTATATTGAACTGCCCTGATAGTTGAGAAACATCTCAATTGCACAAGCCTTTTTATTTATTTATTTACTTACCTTTCCAAAAGCTTCTGGAAATTTGCTGCCTTTCTTTTTGTATGGGGATCAGGGTTTCTTTTAATGATGTTCTTCATAACTTTGTTTGTTTGTTTGTTTGTTATTCCTAATGAGTGTAAATGTCAGTGTTCTGCGAGAGAAGTTTTTCACTAACTTGTTCAAAACAAGGAGAAGGATGAGTTTCTGTGGGAGATCTTTCATGTTTTTTTCTTCTTTTTCATTTTCTAAGTAATTCTGTTTAAATAGCAAAGATTTGGCAGTGTGTCCCCATACAATCCCCCAGGGGCTCTCTCTGGACTGGGAGTTGGAAGAGGTGCCTGGTTATAGGTGTTTTAAATTGAACCTGGAGAGACTTTCTTACTCTCTGTTGCTTAGGGAGAACGACTGGGAAGATTTCATCTTCCTGGGCTTTTGGTTGATTTCTGAGGTCACTCCCTTGTGATTAGCCTTGAGAAACTCCAGAGTACCACATAAACTCATCACAGACTCTCATTAGCTCTCTCAGGGCTTGTCTACATGAAGGCAGTCAAAGGGGTGAAAACGGAGGAGGCAAAACTGGGATTGGAGTGAGTGTCTTTCCAGGAGGACACTAAGAGTAAGAAGTTTCACTGCCAAAGTCTTTGGGGTTTTTTGCATGTTGCAGTATGGGTCTGGGCTTGTGCAGTGGGCTTGGTTTAGGTTTATGTTTTCCAGTTTCCAGTGCAATCCACACAGGCTGCTGCTTAAAGGCAAGTTGCACAGTGAAATGACCCCCTTTTTCCTAGATATCTGAAAGTAACATGACTGGCTGCTTTCCATACAAAAAGCAAGCAAGTGACTCAAACTAATTAAAAATTATCATTAGTAGATCAGAGCTGGAAGCTGCTAATTCAAAAAAAGAGGAATTGAGTGCTTTATTGTTAAGGGAGTTCAAGCAAACTAAACAGAAGTAAAAATCTGAGGGGACTCCTGGCTCCTCTGGGAAATGGCAGGTTTGCCTGATACTGTAGTATCCTGTATGGAGGGCTGGGGAGTAGGGACAAAGAGTGGGAAGGTGAGTTAGGGACTGGAGGAGAGGTGGAGGAGAGGAGGAGTGTATCACTTCTGGCAGAGCAGCCTAAGGGAAGGGGAGAGAGTCTTAAAAGACAGAGCTGACTTGGTGAAGATAAAATAGATTGGGCGAGTCTGAAAAAATGGATGAAAGTGAATAGTACCAAGCTAATACTATTCTGCTGCTGGCTCTGCGACACCGCACTGAGGATGGTGGGAAAGGACTGGCCCCTTCTATTTTGTCATAGAAAAACTATAAAGAGGCCAAATGTAAGGTCAAGACTCCTGAGGTCCACAGCTAGCTCCGCTCCAGTTTCAGCACATGAGCCACAGAGAGCTTTAGAGGCTTTAAGTTCATCCCAGTGCTCCTGCTTAAACTCCCATGCACTTGATCCCTATGTCATTGAAGTTAGCATTTGTCTGATACATGCCGTCTGTCATTGCATCTGCTGTTTCCTGCCTTAGGTATCACTTAATCCTGCTGGGTTCAAATATTAGCTCACGGAGCCTTACCTTGATCTCATATCTTCCCGATTTGGTAAATTTCTGTTTTCTCTTTAGCAATTGCTTCCACGTTTCTATGCAATTTTCAGTCTCCGTGAACCAGTTTTCCTGTTCAAGCAAAGATGACTTGATGCTTCCGTTTGACTCTCAAAACACAGTTTCTTATGGTGTTGTTAAAACTCTGCAGCAAATGTGCTGCAGCAAATGAGCATCTTTTTTGTCTGCTCCGAATTATTGTTACATGTTTTACAAGAAGCTGTGAATCTAGCATGAAGTGTGTATCTATTGTATGGCTTTCTCTATAGGGACAATATCCTTAAGAGGTGTAATTGATTGTTGTTCCTCTGACAGATTACAGCTGAAGGAGAATAAGCTTTAGAAGAATGCTTTTTTTGTCCCTACACTTCAAAAATTATTCAATTCAGCTTTTTGTCTGGATCTCATGATCTTTAAAACACTTGCAAAGTCTTAACAAGAAACTTCATTGTCACACAAAGTTAAGGAGTAGTAAAATAGAATGGTGCTATAAATTACATAGTCTGCATTCTTGCATTGTGTGTAAGCTTGGTCATTTGTCTTTTAACCAACACACAGTCTTGAGACATTGATGTTGTCATAAGTGGTACTTGTTTTCATACTTAATATATGATTGTATTTTGGCACAGCTGATGGAATGTAACAATCTTTTTTGACTTGCTGTAGGGCCACACAAATCAAGACTTACTCCTGGGACAATGCACAAGTGATCCTGGTTGGGAACAAATGTGACATGGAGGATGAAAGAATTGTTCCTGTCGAGAAGGGGAAACATCTGGCGGATCAGCTAGGTACATGTCAAAGCTCTTCTTTCTACTCTTTTTCCTGTGCTTCTTCATACTGTATTCCTTTTAGTTTGTACAATAACAAGTCCTTCCAACAGTAATATTTTAATAATGGTATCACAACTGAGCAGTGTAATATATTCTAAGTCCATATTTTACTTGCTTAGTACTGAGTAGTACCTTCTTGTAGTGTCGCTGTATCTGTAAAGCTAGTATCTAAGGACGTAAGGAAGATAAAGTTTGCCTGGAGAGAACAGCTTTTATTAGCTCAGTGGAATGAAAAGAAAAAAAGTTTTCATAAACACAATTCTGTCTCCAGGTCTCTAAGTACCATATAATCATTTTCAGAATGCAAACATTTGATTTTTGTAGAAGAATTTTATTTCTTTTTTTGCAACTAAACAGTGAAAAAAGACGTTTATACATCAGAACTGTAGAGTTGAGTGAAATGTATTTTAAAAATGTACCAGACTTCCTTATCCAGGTAGGGAAATGACATTATGTTATTGATGTGGGATAGAAAAAGCAAAACAGTTCCATTGAGAGGAAGATGGGATTGCAATGAAAATTTTAGAACGAACAGTAAACTAAACTCATCCTAATTTCTCATTTATTTCTCATTTTTCATTATATATTATAGCATATATGACCTTTTTAATATGGAATCAGGGCTTCTGTGTTAAGATTTAACTATATTGTCATCTTCTCTTAAAGAATTCATAGTGGCAAGTAAATCCTGTTAAAATTTAATTCAGTTAACAGTGGAGGCCCTTACAGTGAGCATACTGTAAATATTTGTTTAGCTTGTAAGGGTAGAAATTCTTATCAGACCCAAAGGAATCGCCATCATCCCCAATTTATAAAATCCTATGTTATCTTCAGTTCTTAAGCAGTACTTGGAAGGTGCATAATATATTGTTAAACTGAGCGTACTGGAGTTCCAGTACACACTGCGTGCATTTTTGTAGTTTAAAGTGTGACCTTGATCAAATTGCATGTTATGGTTAAATCTTAGATAATGAGTATTTATTAGTTGGGAGGTTTGCTATTGTTGTTTTGGGTTGGTTTGTTGTTGCTTTTTTAATGAAGGGAAGGTATAGAAACCCTGCTTATAGATGAGTATAAAGTATGGCTTTGTGATAGGGACCTGTGTGATATAAACAAAAAGATGGCCACTGTTCCAAAGCGTTAAGAGTAATCAGATTATTTTCTCATGTTTCACATGGAAAAAAAAAAAAAGGCATGTCTGCAAAGGCCTGTAGGTTTAGAGCCTTCAAGTGTCAATTCTACATATGCTAAGCACAAAGGGGTCCCATTCGTGACTGGAGCCTTGAGATACTGCCATCATAAAGAAATAATGAGCAAATATCAAACTAAACCCTCTAATTTCCCATCGCTATTATTATTGTAATAATAATTATTTACATGTAAGACTAGCAAAGCAAACAAAGACATGGCTAGTTTGCAAAATCAGTTAAGGTTCTTCTTTACACATCAGAATTTAATTTGCTTTTGAAAATATGAATGTGAATAAACTCGGTTCCTGGCTTGCAGACTCTCAGAATGGTTGTCAATGCATGTGTGCCCACATATTTTGCAAGAATAATTACGCTGTTAGTAGTTGAAAATTTGTCCAGAGCAATGTAACGGCAAATAGAGTGTTTTACTGGAACTCCCACTCCTATTTGGACTTCTAATGTTTTTTCTCCCCCCAAAATTCATCTGTTTGTTTAAATACAAAGTTATCATCTAGAATCTGAATCCTTTACCTATGGGACACTTCAAAACACACATGCGCACAGAGTTACCATAGCAACTGACTCCATCAGTAAGAAACTGTTCTGCTGAAGAATCCCCAATTCTGTCCCCGACCTGTCCTCACACTTGTCCAGCTCACCCTGGAGAAAAATACCCCAGTGCAGAGCAAAACAGAAGCTAACCATGCCTTTGGAAAGTGCTGTCCCAGTCCTCTTCTTCTGTAGACTCCCAAAATAATAAATGCTTTTTTTAAAAGGGCTGAAAAATAGATCTGGTTCTATCAGTCTGTTTTTCCTCATATTAACTGCGCTAACGTGTACAGCATTATCTGAAATTACTTTGTGTGTTAGGTGGGAGGAATCTCTTTAATTGACTATCGACTGCTTAAACTGCTAGCTTTCATCATAGTGACTCACGTAAAGGTTATCCTTCAGTGTGTTTATCTAAGCTTGTAGAGTGACATTAACATCACTGAAATCATTTCCTAATCAGATTAAGAAACTGTTACTGCTCTGAACGTGAACTAAAGTAAAACAGATTCAGCGACAGCAGAAGCTAAACCAATGTTGGACTGACAAATACCTAAGTTCAGTTCTTTGATTTCTTTTTATTGCCTTTTATATACACTTTTAATCATCGTCAAAGACAGCAAGTGGGGCAGCAAAGAGCCCTCATCTGATGCAGGACAGCCGTCCTTATTTAGTAATGAGGCAAACATCTCCACCGTCACTTCACCCCTTGTCCCATGATTTTTAAAAAGTGTTAGAACGGGGTAGATACCTACTTGTTACCTCACATATCAAGGTGACTCGGGCTACCTGCAGCGCAGACTAATCAGTTAAGATGACTTACCTTTCTCTTCATTTGTGGCAGAATCAAAGAAAACTGATGCAATACAGAATATCCCCAAAATGAAGCACAACAGAATGTAGCTTATTGCAAAATAAACTCTGTCGTCCTTGAGCTCTCACTGTTGGCAATATAACAACCTGGTGGAACAGAAGCAGCCGCCGTTGTAAGTGATGGTTGGCCTTTCAGTCCCCTGGGGTTAGAAAGATAAAGAAATGTTTCGCAGTTCATCACATTTCTGCTGGCTGAGGCAGGCTCGTCTGTGAGAAGGCTGGTTCTTGCGTAGCGCTGGGTGTCAATGGGAGGCAGCAGGAACAGCTGTCCGTGCCATCCCCACCTTGGCTTAACTCCAGCCTGGCTGTTTGAGGTGGTTTTTTTCAGTCAGAGAGGGTCAGTGTTTGAGAATCCATACTCATCACTGCAGCTAGGAGCTGGTCATGGGACACTGAAATTACTCTGTAGGAGGCGCACAACATTATTTGTAATTCAGCAGTGCTGAACGGCCCTTGTCAGGACAGGTGCTCTGTCGTGACGTGTGCTATACAAGTATTAATCACCCTGAAGAGCTTTCTGCCTAAACAGACAAAGAATGGGAAAAAACAAGACCAAAGTCATGGAGCATTTTGCTCACAAGCACAGAAGTTGGTCAGCAGAAGGAATACAACCACGATCTTGCTTCTCTTTCTGGTCTGAGCTCTCGCCAGCCTGCAGCAGTGGTTCGTAGGGTAAGCCTGGCCCTCTCGCAGGGCTGCGTGGAGCCCAGGAAGGCCCCTCCGTACGTTCCCAGTCAGTGGCATGTCAGCAGCAGCTGCAGCCCAGGGGATCTTCACTGCTGTAAGGGGGAGAATTCAACTCCCCTGTCCTGGGTTTATTCAGATCTGTATCATCTGCAGGTGTGTTTACCAGGGCAATGGTAAGGATCCATTTATCCCTTTGACTCTTATTGATGAAGTATTTCTGCTCACTGTTCTGAGAGCATGGGAATCAACTGAGCTTAAGAATTGTCTAATGTCTTGTTTCTTAAGGTAAATCCTGAAAAAAATTATTAGTATTTTAAAATGCATCTCCATTATTATCAGTCTCTATTGATTTTTTTTTTTCCCCACTTTTTCTCACAGGTTTTGACTATTTTGAAGCTAGTGCCAAAGAAAACATCAACGTAAGGCAGGTGTTTGAGCGTCTTGTGGATATAATCTGTGAAAAGATGTCGGAGAGTATAGAATCAGACCCTTCCAGGGGCAATTCTGGAAGAAGCATGCGACTCACAGACAACCCACCCCCTTCGCAGCAGAACTGCTCATGCTAGTGACCTTTCTCGCTGAGAAATGTCCTCCTTTTCTGACTAAATTATATCTTTTCGTTTGTGGTGGTGCATTACCATATAGTCCAAAGGCAGAAGTCTCTGTTGTAGGAAACTGGTATGTTTGTTTAATGTGCTGAAGTGTTAATATTATATATTTCCTCATCCAATAATTTAAAAAACAAAAATCTGAATTAATATTGTAACTGCAGCTAGTGTTAATGTGAGTTACACTGAAGAAAGACTCGTATAGTGTTGCAAATGTTATTTCCACAGAAAATGTTGCATTTTTAATTACAAATTCCTCTACTGCAGAAAGAAGTTTTTTGTCAAGAAAGCAGGAAACATAAAAACCAATTAGAAGGGACCAGGTAGAAAACGAAATGGGGAAAAAAATCTCTTATAATGCAATAATATGCTTTTTTTTACATTAAAAAAAAAATCAGTCCCCAGATATTTGAGAATCATTGTTTCTGTCCTCTAGACATGGACCTCAGTTTTTCTGTACAATGGAGCAGAAAGCAGTGCATTTCTGTCTGACAGTTTGAGGTCCTCTAGAGAGCGAAGAGGAAGGAGTGGATGGATTTTGTGTCAAGCCTCTTAAATAGAGGAAAAGCACGTGGAGGAATCAAAGCTGCCAGGCAGGGGAGGAGGAGGCAGCCTTGCAGCCATACCTGCATTTCCCCATGCTCTTGCCTGGTGCTGGCTGAAGAAGCAAGAGCCCTTCCAGGGGCTGCTCTTGCCAGCAAACTTCTCCACAGTCACCAGTAAGGGCTTGCAGAGTGCTGGAGGTGCTGCCGTGTTCAGCAAGGACCTTGCCGTTTTCAGCAGGCACCTTGCTGTCCCTAATCGTTTGTTTCTAGAAGCCCAAGAGCCGACTGTCCTGCAGCTTTTCCCCTCTATCCTGCAGTTTTACCTCTCCAGGTGTGAGTCTACTCTGATCAACTGCTTGATGGTGGATTTGTTGCAGGACGAAGGAAAGGAGGGATTGGCTGCTGCATGCTTAGTTGGAGACAAAATCTGACATGTATGACTTGGAACAGCACTGTCTCAGAAAGATAAAAATATCAGAAGCCAAAATGTGAGTGTTGGCAAATATTAGTGCCAATATTATTAGATTTGCTTTCTGCATTTTGTTGTTATTTTTAAAACTTTTGTGCTAGATGGGCGCATGTGTGTTTTTCTGGTTTCAGATTCAACCACAAAGTATAATTTAAAAAGAGGAAGTTTGATTAATAAACCATAACTGCAAATGAAAAGTGGCAAAGAAGTCCTGTTAGAGTTATTCTATGGATGTTTTGTGGCATCATTCTTTGAAGGGAGGAACAATTTTTAATACTTACCATCTAAAATATTCTTATACTTCCAACATCTCTAAAAGTATGAAACTTCTGTCTGTGTGCATTAGCCACACACAGAGCTTGTATTTCTCTGAAATATATGGAGGAACTGCTTTTGCGAATCTGTGAAATTACACTGTACGCCTTTGTTTATGATCACGCATTTTTTGTGTATCCCAGCTTCAAACAGTGACTGCAGATTGTGTCTGTAAATGTAAGTTAAGTGGATATGGAGAGAAGTTTGCTGTCTTAAGGTGAAAATTCTGGAAAGTTTTATGGCTTTACCTTAGGCCTGTGAACTCCTCTGACTGAGGAGACCTTCTGATGTCATAAACTGGAGTCAAGTATCTGCACACTGCGCTGTAACGTGCTGGATGATGACACTAGCAAATGCTTTTGTAATTTTGTTCTGTTATGTCTCAAAGTGTAATAGTTCTAAGAAAAAAGCACAATATTCTAGAAAAAAAATGCAACTACATTGATGTAGTTTGAGCTCATTGTGCTAAGGCTTGATCCCTTTGTTCGTATGTTGCTTTCAGAAATCTTTACTGTGACATATTTTGGGTGTGTGTGATCTAGTACAGAAAGTGCGATTTGTGCAGTGCTAAGAATGTGGTTATTGTATTTAAACCCCTGAAACTGCAAAATAAAGAGAAATGTAGTCACAGGTGTGGCCAGAGAGCTTGTGTGAGCTGCATTACTAGTGTTAGGCAATCGTAGGCATGTATAAAGAAGGTATCTTTTTAATGCTTTTAAAATACATTAGACTACATTTGATCTTTTTTGACAGGGTGATGATCCTTGAGCCCAGCAATCTGGAATCACTATGAAGGTTTAAAACAGAGTGAAGAGAAGGATTATTTGGCCAGTAAATGTGCAGTGTTCTAATTGTAGCAGAAGCAGGTTTTAGGGCAACTTGTGTAACTAGCAAAAAAGAAAGAAAAAACTTGAACAGCAGGGAGTGATGATTTTGAGCTGTGCAGGTATAATGGAGTACCTCAGTGCAAATAATGATTTTTCAGCTCAGCAGCTCAATGGTAAAAGAAAATAGATCCAGCAGAAATGGTATTTCTTTTGTTTTACTTACTTTTTTTTTTCCTTTCCCTTTTCTACCCAATATGTAATTGTGTTTCATCATGTTCCAGTCAAATCAAATTTATTTATTTTTTTTTATTAAGAAGAATACAAGTACATTCCAGGCCCTTCAAGCTAGGATGGGCAGAATTGTTTTTTACCAGACAAGCCAGCAAGTAGCTACCTGTCAGTATAGTCCGAAGAACTGGAGAAGACGGTTACGAATTCTACGCTGCCCTATATTGCATACATGGAGAAACCTAGTATTTGATGCAGAAACCCTGCAGAGTTTATTTCAAATAAGGAATCAAATCATCACAGGCAACTGACACACGTCTCCATTAATATATATTTTATGTATCTTACATTTGCATTAAAAGCTGTGAATGAAGACAGAGGAAGTCTTTCGCCTTAAGTGGCCTGCAGCTGATTTCAGTATCACCAGTGAGTCAATAGTAATTGTTACTTGTATTAACTTGTAAGAGGTAATGGCAGAATGTGAGACAATAACTTGCCAGGGCAAGGGAAATAAACAGACTTGCTTGCACTGACGAAAGACCCAAAATTCTTGATGTGGTCTTGTATAGAGCCTTCCATTTGACTGGCAGTGGCCTAGGATAGTAGTGTTGATAAAACAGTATGGTTACAAGATTAAAGAAAAGGGGTACTAGAATGTGAATGCAAAGAGGTGACTGCTTTTCACAAGCTTCTCTCTCTGGCTTGTAGGAGACAGCACTGAGTGCGCCGTTCTCCAGTAAAGCCGTACAGGAGGCTCTGGGTTAGAGATGGGTCTTGGCTTCCATCTTGTGGAGAAATAAAGCACTAAAGTATCAGGTAGACATCCAGTCTAAATTTTCTTCCTCAACATCCAGTCTAAATTATCGTTCCTGTATCTCTTTTCTATTAGCCTCTAAAGCTCCCCTCTTTTCTATTAGCCTCTGATCGCTTAACTTCCCTTTGATCATCTCTTTTGCAGTCAACACAGACTTGCACACATGCACAAAATAACTTAACAGCACTGGTCTAGAGGAATAGCAGAAAACTAAACAAATGTGGAACAACCCAAAAGGGATGTAATAACTGCAGTGGCAAGCTTCCTAACACCTCTCAAAGCGTTATAAGAAAAAAAAATCTTGGCAATGCATGCCATTTGGAAATGCTAGCTTCAAAGAGATTTAAGACAAGAGGAAGAACAGCATTCCTGTTGTCGAGACTTGAAATTGCTGCATCAGCACCGCAATCTCACAGAGGGAAAAAGTATATTCACAAATTGGAAAATGCTGAGACCGGCTGAACTGCAAAGACTAGATCAAGGATAATCATGGTCTTTTCTGTTAAATAGTCATGGGTACAAACTTTAAGCTATTAAGGATACCACTAAGGGAAGAAAAAAATTCTAAAAATTAGAGCAGTCAACGGTAAGAACTCACTGGATTTCTCAGAAGACCAGCAGTACCGCTGGTTGAAATAAAATTGTAAACTTAGATCTAGCTCACTGAAGTACTGAAAAATACCAGCCGAAAGCTAGTTTTGCTATGTAATCAACAGCGTGGTCAGGCGTTTTGAACCCTAAGAGTCACGTTTCTTTAAACTGATTCAACGGAGCTAGCGCTCGGCTTTGCTAATGACGGCCGCGGGGGGGCGATGACTGCGACCCCATTTCTTCGTGCCGAGTTTCGGTCTCGAGTTCAGCACGTCTGGCTCGACCCGGCCGCCGGATTTCACCGCCAGTCTCGAAGCTGCCGCCAGCGATGCCCGCTGGGGGGCTGGGCCTGCAG